TGACTTTCTATATAACATTCTACGTTCGATTTGCTGTGCCGTATTGGCGACGTATTCTTTCTCCCAAACTTGTTAACCAAGCACCACCAATCGGTCCGCCTCTTTTCCCCACTGCTGGGCCCGAAACGCTGCGAAAATCTCTAAAAAAGTATGGCATTGTAACTAAGCAGGACTTTTCAGTCTTTTTGCAGTCTTTTTTGGCTGAAGAAAACTTCGAACACAGCTGCTAAAGCAATCGACAGAAGAGAGCAAGAGCAGTAGCAACTCCACTTGCCAACTCACCAATTCGACCAGAAAAAGAGTGACTTTTTTCTTTTCTTTAGCAGTAGAAGTGCGCTCGATCATTACCATCAGTCTCATCAGCTTCATCCACTGCCCAGTACTGCCAACTAAAGCATTTGTGTTTGTGTGGGTATTTATTTGCCACTGCCCAAAAGAAGAGAGGGAAAGTCAATTGTGCAATTGATAGTAATGGCGGTGGTGTTGTGCTACCTTGACAAAATTAGAAAATAGTAATCAAGCATGGCTTAATTAATGGCCTGTACTTTCTTCTTCTTCTTCTACTACTAGTGATGATGATGATGATGGTAATGGTATTGGTGGTAGTGTTACACCATAGACAGCCTCTCTGAGAAGGTAATTAAAATTCCGCACGCATGCAACACTCTCTCAAACTCGCAACACCTCAAAGTGCTGGTGGTGGTAGTGGACACTGTGTCGCCCAGTGCACATCCGCATCTTCATTCCCATCACCACTACTACAGCTAAAACTGCTAATGGTGTGATAATAGCAGTGCCAGCAGATCAGATCAGAGTTTGACTTGATTTGATTTGAAGAAGAAGAAAAGCCCCACTTGATATCTGTCCGCTTTTTCCTGCTTTGCCGCTGCTGCTGCTGCTGCAAAAGAATGTCCTCACATTCACAGACATTCAAAGGCGGCAACGGCAGCACCGCTGGCAAACCAGCAGTGGCCACCATGGAAGTGATTAGTAAGAGCAACAACAAAAACAGCAAAAAGTCCACCACCACCACCACCTCCACTTCTCAGCACAGCACTACCTCCACTACCTCATCATCCTCATCCGCTTCCTCATCCTCCTCCTCCAGCACCACCTCCTCAACCTCGAAGGATCCGCTGAAGACGCGATGCAGCGGCCTGACGCAGATCACCCGCAAGACGATGGTCACCAGCGAGCGCCTGGGCCGACTGTCCATGGCGCTCCCACTGACGCCCACTCCCACGCCCCCTGAGCTGGAGGACCACCATCAACAACAGGAGGAAGAAGGGGATGGGGAGGGCAATGAGTCATCTCGGAAGCTGGTGCTCCTTCCGGGCGGAAAGTGGGCGGCCATTCAGGCGACCAACGACACCATCAGCAGACTGAAGATGCCGCCCACGGCTTTGGGAGCTGGGGGCGTCACTAAGAGCATTTCCTGCAATGCCGAGTGGTGCATAGCAGCACCTTGCTCCTCTTCTGATGAGCTGAACCACAAGGGCTGCATCGGCGGCGGCGGAAGCAGTGCTTCAAAGCCGCCGACGATGCAGCTCTCCAACTCCTCCGCCTCGCTGCTCAAGGCGTCGAAGACAAAGGCCACCACCTACCTGCAGCTGTACTGCCACAATTACAGCCATAATCACAGTCACAATGGAGGCAGCTGTGCGGGAGGAGGAGGATCNGGCGGAGGCCCCCACGATGAGCCCGAGCGAGAGCACTGGGACAAGAAGATTGAGTTTCTCCTCGCCGTCATTGGCTTCGCCGTCGACCTGGGCAATGTCTGGCGCTTTCCCTACGTCTGCTACCGAAATGGAGGCGGTGAGTACTACTTAGCCTGGCCTAACCTAGCCTATTGACCTATTTGATCTTTACAAAACCTAACCTAACCTAAACTAATTTCTGTAGGCGCCTTCCTCGTCGCCTACTGCATTATGCTGCTCTTTGGCGGCCTCCCTCTTTTCTTCCTCGAGCTGGCACTGGGCCAGTACTTTAGCAGCGGCTGTCTCACCATCTGGAAGCGACTCTGTCCAGTTATGAAAGGTGAGAGTTGTCAGAGCAGAGGAATCTGTCCCTTCTCCTTTTTATTGGTGCCAGTTGTTACCAAGTTGGCTAGCCTCTTTTTCCTTACATTTTCAATCTTCATTCATGCAATTTCCATTCGAATGGTCACTGTTTCTTCTTCTTTTTAGTGGTAGTAACCTTTTGTAATTGTCCACCTTTTTTAATATCGCTGCACGGTGACAGCAGGTGCAAGTGCAGTGATCTCTTTTTGGGGGACAAACAGCAAAAAACACAGCATTTTGAATTTGTGTAATTTAATTTAGAATCTTCCACTTTACTACTCCTCTCCCCAGGCCTCGGCTACGCCATCTGCATGATCGACATCTACATGGGCATGTACTACAACACCATCATCAGCTGGTCGCTGTACTACCTCTACGTCAGCTGCCAGTCGCTGGTCAACTTTTCGCTGCCCTGGGACGACTGCTCCCACGCCTGGAACACCGACCGCTGTCAGACGCTGGAGCAGCGGGGAACGAGCAGTGCACTGCTTAATAACGGAACAAATAACGGTAACAGCACTGCAACGGGCAATGTCACCGCCGCCGCCGCCGCCGTCGAACTGAGCTCGGTCAGTCCTGCCGAGGAGTACTTTCTGTAAGTGAGAGTTGGGAGCTCATTTTTGTGTGTCCTCTAGGATGTGCACTTTTTCCTTTTCTTTTTGTTCTTTTTATTTCTAGTGTTTAGTGTTTAGAGAGAGAGAGAGAGCTGGGCAGCCTGGCATCATTATCGCGCGCGCAGTTTGTCTCGATTCGGGTTCTGGTTCTGGTTGTGCCCCTGTTCACTGTTTCACTCTGTCGACCCACTTCATCATTAGGAGAAAAGAGAAGGGCAGCCCAATTTTTGCAGTTTTTTCTTTTTCGGTTGCAGAATCGATTACACTTGTTGTCGAGTGGCGGTGGTGGGGGATACATTTTTGTTCAAAGGCATTTTTTCATTTTTCTCTCTCTTCACCGAAGACCACGGTTGCCCACCAATGGCACCGATAAGCAGCAGCAGCAGCAGCAGTCTTTGGCACGCGGCCAGTTTTGCTGCTGCTGCTGCTGCCGTCGCTGACGCAGTTGAATTGTGCGGCGGCCATTACCGTCGCTTATCTATGCTAATAGTTTGCTGCTGTTGCCTCTGCCTCCTTTCAACGAGTAGTAACGAGTGTGTGCCAGTCTCTTCGCAGTGATCGATTCAGTGGGGTCCTAGGTGTCTGAAATGAATTGAGAGGAAGGCATCTGTTGAGAGGGAAAGAGAGACAGTGTGGCACACTGTGAGAACTGATGATGCCAGATCGTCGTCGTCGTCGTCGTCCAGTTGCCATAGAGAGAATGGGAAAAGAGGAGAAAAGGAGAAAGATGCTCCCTTTTTGCCGAGTCGAGTCGAGGCGACAGATTGCCCGAAATTCTTATCTCAATTAACGAATTGTTGCTGCGCGTTATCGCTTTGCCGTTTTTTGGTGGTGGCTTTGTGCCTCCCAAATGGTCTCATTGTGTGCTACCATTGAGTAGGCAGCTGATGAATTGAGATACATTGAGAATGGGGCTGCTTTGCAAGTCAAGTGTGGTAAGGATGCTGGACGCTGAATCCATCTAGGCCTAGTGTGTGTGTGTGTGAATGCTTTGCCTGCCTATGCTAACGATGCCAATTTTGATTGAATAAGTTGGTGGTGGCTGTAAGCCTGCTTGCTTTCTTAAGCTAACCTAGCTCTTCTTCTTCTTTTGTACTGCTACAAGAAACCACGTCCTGCAGATAAACACCTCCTCGGGCATCGACTCGCTGGGGCCGATTCGCTCCTCGCTGGCCGTCTGCCTGATGCTCATCTTCCTCGTCGTCTACTTCTCGCTGTGGAAGGGCGTCAAGAGCACGGGAAAGGTCAGATTTTGTCGTTGTTACTTGGTATGAGGTTATTGAAGTTTAACTGTAATCCCCTCTCTTTTTTCACTAGGTTGTCTGGGTGACGGCGCTCATGCCCTACTTTGTCATCTTCGTCTTTCTGATTCGTGCCACCACGCTGGAGGGGGCGATCGACGGCATTCGCTTCTACCTCGAGCCCGACTGGAGCAAGCTGAAGTCCATCAATGTAAGGGGGGGGGGGGAATTGGGAGCTTTTTATTGTCAAAAAAATGTACGATTAATTATCTTTATACACTACATACTACACTAGGTTTGGATCGACGCCGCCACGCAAATCTTCTTCTCCCTGGGCCCTGGTTTTGGCACGCTGATGGCCCTTTCCTCTTACAACAAATTTCACAATAACTGCTACAGGTTTGAAGAATGGTTAAAGTTATTTTTAAAAAAGATTTTGAAGACCACTTTTCAAATCATTCAGAGACGCCATCCTCACCAGCAGCATCAACTGCCTGACCAGCTTCATCGCCGGCTTTGTCACCTTTAGCATTCTTGGCTTCATGTCGAAGAAGCTGAACAAGGACATTAGCACGGTGGTCGCCGATGGTATGAGCACTTCTTTTCACACTATTTTTGATTATGCAGCACTTTTTGTGGCGCGAATCAACTCACCTCACTTCACAATTTGTCTAATTTCTTCTCTACCTCTCATTTCCTTAGGACCTGGCCTCGTCTTTGTGGTGTACCCAGAGGCGATTTCCACGATGTACGGCTCCGTCTTCTTCTCCATTCTCTTCTTTGTCATGCTGATCACGCTCGGTC